TCGGCAGAGAAATACTATTGTGCCATAGTATTCCTTATATGAACCTATCAGTGTATAACATTAGCATTCAGATATTGTTATAAAATAAGTTAAAAATACCAAATATTATCGTGTAATATGACAAGAGATAGTGTTGTGTTCGCTGTGACAAAAAGGTTTCGATATTCAAATTTGAAGTAGGCCTGCATATGACTCACAACAGAAATAGATACATAATAATGTTTTGTTTATTTTCCTACACATCAGTTGCGAGAGCAATGTTTATGCTAACTAAGTTTTCATCAATTAATACAGCATTTTTAAAAGATGATTTGGTTCAATTAAAACATTCGAAGAATGAAAAAGAAATTAGGCCTACTGCTGAAATGATTAGTATAAATATAATTAAAATCCATCTATGGGAAGGGATGCCAGACGGACATATCAAAACAAAATCGGATAATTACTTGGAGTATAGACTTTCAAAAATAGCATATTAATTTACAATGATATCGGTTTTTAATAAAATCACTAATAATTCTGAAACGTTGCCGATAAGCCTGGAATCGTGTTCACATGTTTTCATAAATACACTCACACGAACGCCCAAGTGCACTTTGCGCCCTAATGGATAGTGTTTACAAAATCACGTTTCGCGAAGGCCGGTATTGAAACGCCAATCAAATCACTTGTATTTCATATTCAGCGGCGACAAATGAATCACTGCATTCTAAGGCTGGGACGGGTACTCGGGTACTCGAATCCGGGTCGGGTACAGCTGGAATCGAGTCCTATTTCTAGGAATCGAGTATCCGGAAAGGGAGAGAGCTCTGTAATGACAAGGGCAGACAATAGCTTGTCTTTTTCATTTTTGACGTAACACACATTTACATCATTGAGTGAGTGAGTTTAGTTTTACGCCGCACTCAGCAATATTCCAGCTATATGGCGTCGGTCTGTAAATAATCGAGTCTGGACCAGACAATTCAGTGATCAACAACATGATCATCGATGTGCGCAATTGGGAACCGATGACATATGTCAACCAAGTCAGCAAGTCTGACCACCCGATCCCGTTAGTCGCCTCTTACGACAAGCATGGATCCATATTCTAACCCGGAAATTCACAGGTTTTTCATCATAGGTATCGTCCGATTAATGGAGCATAGTTTTAATGACTGTAATTTATCTGTGCATGAGCAGTGAGTAGTTAAGTTACAGTAGCAGCATGTAATTATAAGTAATGGTGTTACTCTCTATATTGGTTAAACAGACGTAAATTAAATAGCTTGAGGTCAGTTTTAATGTCTTTTACCAACTGTTCAGGTTTTCTATAATAATCTCTGTCAAATCGTGATTGAATATTCAGAAAGTTGACCTGAATGTATTTCTTACATTTCCGGGTACTCGATTCCGATTCGGGTACGTACATGCGGGTACTCGATTCCATTGTTTCCTACTCGTCCCAGCCCTACTGAATTCCTCATACATTTTAGAATCTAATTACAACTAATTACTGGTCTTTTTGGCACCAATACCAAGAGTCTAGATAAAGTGAAACGAAAGATATTGGGGGTGGAAACAACTGCTGTGCTCGAAAGACATCACCTGTTTGAAATGTAAACAAAGAAAATTTCAGACTTTACACTGTGTAGCATTTTCTCAAATTTTCAGACACCCATTTGCACGGAAAGAGCATAGTAGCAAGAAATAGGAAATTAAAACTAGATACAATACAGGAATGTGATGTGTTTATACGAAACTGCCAAGTTTCTGTGCTGCGTGACGCCATGACTGACGCAAAATCACGCAGAACGACAACGGTAATAATCGGCATTTCTGGCTTCTTCTCTTTCTTAAAATGGGAGTGTATTTGGCAATTTTGTCTGAGGTGAAGGTCGGTAGAATAAGAGTATACACAATCACCATATCCCGCCGATTACACTTTCAGTATCATAATGTAATGGTGTCCTCCCATTTGTGAGAACTCCCAGTTGTGAGACACATTAATTAATGGTTCAGTGCACATAGGTGGTGTTTCCACATCCCTACAATGAAAGTGGGATCAGCCCAGCCCAGTACCCACAGGAGGCATAGTCCATTGATGAATTGACTAATGAAATAGATTATCAAAGGATTATATTTACAAAGAAGAAATAGTTCATTAAATATTTATTTATTCAGAAGAATATGCACTTATGATAACACATTTTTATTGACTATTATGAAGTTTGAAAGTAATTTTGGTTTAAACATATTTTATTATCATTTATGAAAATGAATTGGGATTGGTGAAGTATTACTGCTCATGTTAACACCGCTCCCATGCAACATCAAATACAAAATGACATGGAGGATGTGACGTCATCGATATTGACTGTTGCATAAATATATTTTAACTACATATAAATATATACAGATTACATCAAATACAACTATTCTCTAAGTAGTCATAATTAGAGAGTTACAGTTGTGTGTGTCTAACAAGCTATTGTAGGAATATAAATCAATCATGAGAAGGTTGTTGAGTTAATTTAAGTATTTTCCTGAGAAAATTCTAAGCGTTGAGTCTTGATGATGTAATAGTGGACGAATTCAATTATTTTCTGCTGGTTTACACAAGGAGTAAATTCTTGTTTCCGTTCAAAATGGTACCCAGGTTATAACGGTAGTGTAAAATACATATTAATTCTTATCAAGTGAGGAAATAGTGTAGGGCGTTTTCACTCTGATGTCCACAAGAACAACATGGGCTGTCTATTAAATGACTGTTAGGCGGCAGTGGACGATTTGACAAAAACAAGATGCATAATTACTGTCAATATAAATCTTGTTTTCGGTTTTTGTAATTAAGTTTTTAAATTCTGTGAGACTACATGACTCTTGGTAGGGCATTCCATAAATTTATTGTGTCGGGTAAAAAGGATTTGGCATAAGAGGCAGTTCGACTGTAAATTCCTTGTATTTCAGAGTTATTTCTTAAACTATAGCTTGTAGTTTCGGAGACGGAGTAAACCTGAGTAGGTAAATTCATTTCTCTTTCAAATGATCATGAAGTTACCTACACAAAGTGTTTAATTTTTAAGGACATTTACCTGAGTATGTTAATCAATTTATCTTATAAAGTTTCATTAAGTTACCTCCAAAAGATTCAGTTACATAGCAAATCAGTAATTAGCTAGGGTTAATCCATTCTATCAGGCAGGGGAGTATGGTGTGTTTTCTTTGTGAATTGCCTACTCCAATGTCTCATAACTGGGAGTCTCACAATTGGGAGCTCTCACAAATGGGAGGAGACCAATGTAATCGTTCGGATATTTTTTCATGAAACTAATTTAATTATCTACATGTAGCCTTGTTCAATATCATATCATACGTGGGTATAGGGTGTACGTGTTATATTCTTTGAAAGTGTTTGTTTGAATAATATTTACAGAAGAAATTCACACATTTAGTGTAGTAAAGCATATATAAACCTTTCCACAAGTGTTAAAAGATGAAACGTAGGCATCATGTACTTGTACAACATGTATTTTAGTTCCTATGATGTGCATAGATACAATTTCGTATGTAACTCTTCGTCAGAATAATTTCTAATATCGAAGTCCAGTCCACGATACACCCTATCCTTTCTTTGCTGAACTGGCATCATGAAAGCAGTGTTAGCCATGAACGCCATTTGCGAGTTAACCACACTGTTAAAAAGTTAGCGGCGGTCCTTAAGTGTGTTAACTTAACGTCACGTTAACAGCCTCTTAAAAGTTAACAGAGTTTTGAACAACAAGATAACCCTCTGTTATTAGGTAACAGTCGGTTAAATATACTTAACGGCTGGTTAAAAGATAACCGAGTTTTGAACAACCGGGCCCAGATGGTTAAAAGACACACTCCAACCTCATCCTACCAGGTCCCCATTCACTGCTGGGTAAATAGAGGCTGATTCCAGCAACAAAGTGACCAGCTTAGGAAACACCACATCTGCTACATGGGAATCAGTGTAAGCCTACAAAGTCTCTGTATACAGTGAAGGAGATGGCAGTCCAACCAGGACCCCATTCACTGCTGGGTAAATAGAGGCTGGTTTCAGCAACAAATGATTAAAATACATTCACGCCAATTTTTATGTCATTTGCCTTTTGTGTAGGTAGAATTTAATTGTCTGAGCTGCTTTAATGTGCGTCATAATTTCTTTTTCATCCCAGTTAATGACAAGTGTAATTGGCTGTTCTATATTTGTCCGATACCAACATTTAGGTCCAGGATTTTTTGGAACCTGTCAAATAGTATATGGAAACAGATTGTGCAAATATCAACTTAAAAATGAAAGCTTGTTCAGGTATCATTTAATGTTAGCTGGTATCATACAGTACATGAATGTGAGGTGTGTTCTGCAGTATTTAATGGTTCCAGAAGAAACGCCTGAAATATACCGAAAATAATGCTATGATAAGTCATGTTCAAGCGATGTATTCTTACTCGGCTCTGTGCGTGCGTGTGGAGGGGGATAGGGCTTCTACTATGGTCACTGTGGAGTATGTCAGGGGCACAATGTCATATTTTGGAAGGAGGATGTTTGGCTCCCTATAATGAGTGCAACGTGGGTTATGTTTGACCCTTGTTCCTGGCCCTGCAGATTAAGCCACCCTCAGTTCTATGTGTAGCCTTCTCAGAGGCGGGTTCGATCCCCGACCGCGTCATACCAAAAGACGGTAAAATATGGTACTTGTTGGTCCCTGCCTGGCGCTCGGCATTAATGGGTACAACAAGGACTGGTCGGCTCGGAGTCAGTATAATGTGTCTGAGTGGGGTATTTATGCTTCACTGCGGCATGGTATCTCAGTGGGCTAGCACTATATAACCAGCTTAAGTCTGGGCTAGTACAAGCAGCCGCACATACACACGCATGCACGTCGTCATATGAGCGAAATATTCTTAAGCACGACGTTAAACCCAATTTCACCTCACCTCTCAGGGGCGTAGGAACGTGTGTGTGTGTGTGTGGGGGGGGCGCTTGGCGCTTATCAAGACGAAGCCATGTCTACCTTGCCATAACTTCAATTTCATTTTGATTTTCAATACTTTTAATAAATTAGCTCTTTGGGCTATCCTCCAAAATTAACTTGACATGTTGTCAAAGTGTGGATTATAAGTGTCCATTGTGGACTGTGGACTCTAAATAATGCTGGTTCAACGCATTTTTAATGAATAATATATTGTCCTGTTCCGGACACTCCTTCCAATTGAGGCGTGCGTTTGATAGTGACAAAAACATAAATTCATATTTCAAATCTGAACTTGTTCTCAGTGTGAATTGGAATATGGTCACAGTTTGCTTGCTGTCAGCGCTTCCTTGACAAGTCGTGCCGTATGTTGGGCACATCCCCAGTGCAGTGTAACCCCAGCACCCCCGTGGCCGTAGTTGTGTACAACCTGCAACATCATCAACGACGTATCTACCAGCACTTTACACTTACATAGATTCAGTTGTAGCCCTGCTTTCTAATGCAAGTCAACAGGACGAGTAGGCTTGCTCTCACACAGACAAGTCAACAGGACGAGTAGGCTTGCTCTCACACAGACAAGTCAACAGGACGAGTAGGCTTGCTCTCACACAGACAAGTCAACAGGACGAGTAGGCTTGCTCTCACACAGACAAGTCAACAGGACGAGTAGGCTTGCTCTCACACAGACAAGACAACAGGACGAGTAGGCTTGCTCTCACACAGACAAGACAACAGGACGAGTAGGCTTGCTCTCACACAGACAAGTCAACAGGACGAGTAGGCTTGCTCTCACACAGACAAGACAACAGGACGAGTAGGCTTGCTCTCACACAGACAAGACAACAGGACGAGTAGCTTGACAGACAAGGACGAGTAGGCTTGCTCTCACACAGACAAGACAACAGGACGAGCAGGCTTGCTCTCACACAGACAAGACAACAGGACGAGTAGGCTTGCTCTCACACAGACAAGTCAACATGACGAGTAGGCTTGCTCTCACACAGACAAGACAACAGGACGAGTAGGCTTGCTCTCACACAGACAAGACAACAGGACGAGTAGGCTTGCTCTCACACAGACAAGTCAACAGGACGAGTAGGCTTGCTCTCACACAGACAAGACAACAGGACGAGTAGGCTTGCTCTCACACAGACAAGACAAGACAGGCTTGCAGGACGAGTAGGCTTGCTCACACAGACAAGACAACAGGACGAGTAGGCTTGCTCTCACACAGACAAGACAACAGGACGAGCAGGCTTGCTCTCACACAGACTCTCAGGACAACAGGACGAGTAGGCTTGCTCTCACACAGACAAGACAACAGGACGAGCAGGCTTGCTCTCACACAGACAAGACAACAGGACGAGTAGGCTTGCTCTCACACAGACAAGACAACAGGACGAGTAGGCTTGCTCTCACACAGACAAGACAACAGGACGAGTAGGCTTGCTCTCACACAGACAAGACAACAGGACGAGTAGGCTTGCTCTCACACAGACAAGACAACAGGACGAGTAGGCTTGCTCTCACACAGACAAGACAACAGGACGAGTAGGCTTGCTCTCACACAGACAAGACAACAGGACGAGCAGGCTTGCTCTCACACAGACAAGACAACAGGACGAGTAGGCTTGCTCTCACACAGACAAGTCAACATGACGAGTAGGCTTGCTCTCAAACAGAAAAGTCAACAAGAAGCTGTGCTTGTCCATAGGTCAGCTTAGCAGTTGCCCAAATGCTCAAACTTCAACATTACCTCAGAGATAATTCAACAATTCTGTGTTTCAGATATCTGGCCTCACTGACATTGAATTAGTTCTTACAAGAAAACTTGTTGAAGCCTTTCTTTTCAGTTAACGCATGTGGAATTTGTAGGATGTAAATGTGGACCTACTGGTAGTGTCTCCCCTGATCTCATCTTCAGATGTTGTGCCTCCAGTCGAACTTGTGTCCTTGCAGGCCTAAGACCTGTCCGCACAGACTCGATCTTCACTCCCTTCAAAAAGACACTCCATGAGATGAACACACATCACAATGTTATAAACTGAACAAAGATTTGAAAATGAAGGTCAGATCACAACCCCGCTTCTGGTTCTGGGACCTTTTTATAAGAAAATGATTTCGTGGCATTCCATTGGCCATTGGAAGAGACTGTCTACAACGCCCCCTAGTAAGGCAACCAACATGGCTCGACGCGCGCCACCAGTATTGCCTCTCTTACACCCGGGATCAATGGTTGAGTAGATGCATATTTTATGTCCGTTTCAGTTACTCGTGATAAATGAAGATGACCGTGACTGACTGAGAGAACAACATATTGGTATAATAAGTGTTTCTACCTATTTAGTCTGTCAGCGCCACATGTCATTGTTTGTTGGTGTCATTTCCATACGTCAGTCCGTCCGTTACATCACATAAATACTGTGGAAAACACAGCCTGGTTCCCGCGGTTTGCTGCGCTACACATAGAACACTCCGGGAACCAGGCTGTGGAAAACATCACCAATGCATGCTGACCTTGAGGCTGGGCATTAATAAGAGCGCCCTCTCGTGTATGTCCCGAGAATCTGCCTCATCCACGTCTTCATTCCAGTTCCCCTCTTGTGCCACTCCTCCGACTACAAGGCTGCGACAGCTACAAAGACGACAACTTTAAAGAGCATTCATCAGTAAATTAGCAAGGTAACATATTGTAGTAATTAATGTTGTTTTATACCGCTTTAGCAATATTCCAGCAATGTCACGGGAGGGGGGTCTTCAAACATCTCACATTATATACACATGGGAAAATGTATCAAAATACCTAGAACAACCATATAATCATTTATATTCATATCATTATTATGTTTGTATAATTATTTTCACCCTTTGGGTGCACCATACATTGATTTTAGATATGTACGTGCTAATCTAAGGCGAGGATCACGTGCAATTCGTGTACCTATCATTAAGCAAATATCAAGTTTCAGTTGCCGGCTATTGCAAGAGATGCCGTCATCCACTGACTAGCTGATTGGTCTGAAAACATCAGCAAACTAATGGCATTAAGGACAATCAGCGTTCTGGTCGACCACGGCAGGTGAGGTGAGGTGAATTTGGGTTTTACGTCGTGCTTGAGAATATTTCGTTTATATGACAACATGCATGCGTGTGTATGTGTATGTGCGGCTGCTTGTACTAGCCCAGACTTAAGCTGGTTTTATAGTGCTAGCCCACTGAGATACCATGCCGCAGTGAAGCATGAATACCCCACTCAGACACATTATACTGACTCCGAGCCGACCAGTCCTTGTTGTACCCATTAATGCCGAGCGCCAGGCAGGGACCAACAAGTACCATATTTTACCGTCTTTTGGTGTGACGCGGTCGGGGATCGAACCCGCGACCTTCCGCTCTCCGGGCGGACGCTCTAACCACTACACTACGGAGGCGGTCGGTCACGGCAGACGTCTGCTAGGGAAGTTACAGCCCTTCACACTATCACAAGATTTCATCCGTTCCTGCCAATTGCAAGTGACCTATTAAGAACAGAGTGGCTTCCATATCGTCGTTTCTTCAACAGAGCGGTCCACAATCGCCTACGATCGGCCAAGTACAGGGTCAGACATCCGCCGTTATTTACAGAGTACAAAGCCTTACGATGTCAAGCTCCACCTCACGGACATTTGAGGTCGAAGGGAAGGGTCCACTTGTCGGACGAAAGTCGGTTTCTTTGGTCAATGACTGATGGCCGAGCTGTGTTTGGCGCCACAGGAACACTGCATGTGCACAATTGAAAATCTTGGAATACGTTTGGCGGGGGTTCATGGATGGTCTGTGGGAGCCTCTCACATGGCCGCAAACATGACCTTGTGACTATCAGACAATATCTGACTGGACAACGGTACATCGTTGTGGACCACATTTCGATCAGCATGTTAATGGACGACAATACTAGGCCACATGGTGCACGTGGCATGGGTGATTCCCCACATCAACTCTACCTTGGCCCGCCAGGGTGTGGCACGTTATGCGTCACAGAATACTCCTGAGAGATCCTCCAGTATTAAATGTTGATGCACTGGAACAAGCCCGCCAAGAATGTAACGCAGTATCTCAACCTATGTTTTCGACCTTTTTGCTTTTAGATTTGCTATTTTATTGTTCCTTGAGGCTCAGGTTATCCAGATAGTAAGTTAAAGTAAGGTTTTGTTCCAAAGTTCCTTTGCTATGGTCATTGGTAATATATTGATACTATGATAAAGAGGGGGTGTTGCAATACCTCATTCCATATAAATATAAACGACCACATCTCAAGTCAAATCTTACTGCGGTGGGCACGGTAGACCAAAAATCCATATAATGTAATATAATATAATGTATATACATGTAAAATTGACATAGGCAAATTGTATGCTTATCAAGAACTTCAATATAACAATGATACTTTTGTCCATGTGTGAAAAACAGCGTTGCTTTCAAACGAACAATTCTCTCTTCTACTTGAAATTTAAACAAGATGGTCGACAGCGTCCCGACTGGCATTCTTTAAAGACAAATTTTATATGTCATTAAATGTACAATATTTTATTCAAACCTCTCTTTGAGAACAGTAATTGTTTTTGCTTTGGGCAATGTAAAATATGCTAATAAACAAGGTGTGTGAGAGATATGGGTTAGTTAGCCAAAACCAACGTGCCTTACATACACTCTGTCAGAAGACATACTTACATACACTCTGTCAGAAGACATACTTACGAAGGAAACATGTAGGTTGCAGCAGCCTTGCTGGATATAAAGAGGTAAAAATGTTTCACCCACGGAGCTTGCATCTGTAATCATCATACAAGAAATCGGAATAATCGATAGTAAAATTGTTACGTGTATGAAGGCAAAGGAAAATATTATGGATGACAACTTCTTCCTTATTGTATGTCACAACGTTTCTGGGCTATTCCTTGCCGTCTCTCTGGGCTACTTCTAAATCTCTCAAGAACCGTGTACGAAGGACAGTGAAACAGTTGCATAGGTTTTACATGGACATAACAACATCCCCTGTGAATTATATGATTCCAGAATAGATTTATGCAAATACATGACAAAGGTAATAAAGATATTTGGTGAATCCCTTCACGTATGTGACTACAGAAGAGAATTATAAATATCAACGTGCATAGTCGCTGTATAATGTTAATAATGCCTACAGTCTTACCCGCAGCACTTGGCCTCGCACTGGCTTGAGAGACGTGTCCCGCATGAGAGTACAGGAGCCCATCCCTGTACAGTTGACCACGACGTCATACTGGCCGGACATCTGCGGACAAGGTCACATCGTGAGCGACATGGAGCATGCACGGAGCCAACAAGCCAGACACAGCTGACATCATAACTCCTTGATCGTTCACGATCGCCCATCCCTCCACACCCACAGTGAACACTCGGCGCCTCCAGGGATGTATTACGGTAACACGAGAATAAAAAGCATGCAGCAATTATCTGAGGCAGTGTGCAGTGTTTGCATCATGTGCCAGACAGGCTCTATGGGAGATCTGGAGACCTGGGGCTCCTTTCACAAAGCACTAAGGTGATCGTAAGTCACTAAGGTAACCTTAAGTGCAATGTTAAAGGTCACATAAACCCTAGGGGGTTAAAATACATAAATCACTAACTGGCATCGTTATAAATGAAACCCCGTCATTAAAACTACTCATTTCGACCTTTAATTGACTTAAATCGACCTTTTTGACAACTGCACAATTCTCACCCGCGAACGAAATTTCAACCAATCAGAGCGGCGCGACTCTGTGACGTCATATGAGGAATAGCTTTAAGGGGCGATGCAGAATTCATCTACATTTTAGGGGGTAAATTATCTTGTTTACAGGCTTGTATAAACCTGAAATCGTGACAATTGTTGTGGAAAATGAAAGCTATGTTCTCACAATCTACTGTCATTTAATTTTGTCTCCTGCTTTGCCTAGTTTCTGAGTTACAACTTGTTTTCATAGACGCTTCTGTCACAATTGATTGGTGTCGTTAGGCCCTATTTGTATAATGACTGATCCAAATTGATCCCATTTCTGTGTTTTTTTTACCTCGATATTTAATCATGTCATGTAAAAATCTGTTTGTATTCTCAAAACAGTGTCGGCCCATAAGTTTTCACATGCAATACAGCAATTAATACTCCCTTGTTGTAATCCGTGTTAGGTGGTATAAACCTACACATGTTATTTGTCATCATTCACTTGATGGTCAGTTAATGAATTTATAACGGGTATAATTAGTAACACACTTAGATTACCCGACAAAGGTTCCCATTAGGCATTTCTTGTGTCTGGAGTAAATATTCAACATTATAAACATCGATCAAAGGGTTAACCGATAACACGCTGATTGATTAATTACTTTTATCTTACACAGCGGAATTGTCAAAAGGTAGTGTTTATGTATGTAGATTAACTAATCTATACTGAATACACTCTGCCGTGTCGGTGTCTGCGTAAAAACAACGTCCTTCTTTCAAAGGATTAACCGGCAATACATTGATTGATTGCCCATTATTGGCTAACTAAATTACTGTTTTTAATGAAAGGCGGACATTATGCAATTAGTTGCCAGGTGTGCTATCTTGGGTGACCAATGAGACTATACACCAATACCTGAAAAGATTTATCACTTTTTCGTACATTAAACTGTTAAAAGACACATCATTTGGAACAGTTTTGTGGATATTGATGGATACATTCCTCAAACAAGGTAATGGCCTAATATTGTTCCTATGAGACAGACAACATACACTAGGGTGTGTGTGCGAATTATGATTCACCTTCGACCCCCACCTCGCTTCCGTGGAAGAAATCGTTATGTTATAAGTTGTGTCATGCAAAATCCTTTTGGTTATGATTCCAATACATATTTAACTACGAGTAGAAAGTAGTTTTGATTTTCTAACTTGATGAAACCAAACAACTATAATCTCATTAATTCTAACAGACTTTACGATTTTCTAAAAATGGCTTTACCCTGTCAAAGGAACATCCGCCAGTCTGTGGATAAATGCTATTTAGGTTTGTTTTCACCGAGTTACAAAATCAAAACTACTTTCTACTGGTAGTAAAATATGTATTTTATTGATGGCCAATAGGATTTTGCATGACATAACGTATAACATAACAATTTCTCCTGGCAGCGAGGTGGGTGTCAATATAATACTACTTACAATATTATTGTTACTTCGACCACAACCTCACTTCCGAGGAAGAAATCGTTATGTTACAAGTTGTGTTATGGAAAATCTTTATGGTCATCAATCATATACATATTTTACTATAACTAGTAAGTAGTTTTGATTCTTTAACTTCCGTGAAGCGATCTGAACACAAGTAAGATATCGTTTCAGGCTTCCACAACGCTCGCTTCGCACTCACAAACATAACCCATTTAGCACGAACTGCGGGGTCCTGTGGAAATCTGTGCATGGTGACACCATCACCCGACCCCTAGGAGCAATTGACGACAAAGCAACGATTCGGCATGTCGTCGTTCATGTCGAGAAATCATAAAAATGATGAGCGTTCTACACACTTTCTATACAACTAACTGAAAATCGTTCCTCATATGACGTCACTGCAGTGCTCTGGCGACAGAGTTACGTAACCTGTCTGTGGTTTCGTTGGCGGGCGAGAGGGAAGCAGGCGACTTTTTGGCCACTTTTAATCGCTCGGTATTAATTAACCACAAGTTTTTAAAGAATAAATGTGGTGTTCCGCATAAGACTAACCACAAATCTTTCATATGTAATGGTTAAAAGAGTAACAAAAAAACAAAGTTTAGTAGTTCTTTAAAGAATGGGAGTTAAGGTTAACCTTAGTAAAGGTTGCTTCGTGAAAGGAGCCCCTGGACCTCTGGCGGACCAAGAGAGAGTTGCTTTACATTTTTCCGGTGAGTATCAGACAAACAGCAAAGAACAACTGACCTCCTCCAGAGACTCTACTTTTCTTTGCTGAACTCTGCCACCTTGACGCGTGAACCTGCAACAATGCAAACATGCTGCCTTCAAGGCAAGCGACGTGGAAACAGACGCTTCCTAGCACATATCTACAAATATACGCTGGCAGATAATCTCGACGTCTAGCTAAAGGGTCGTGTGTACATACCTCTCCATCAACCACTGTAGGTACAGCTCGACATCAATCTGCACGCTCGTATGGAAGCTGCCATTTCTGAAGCCAGACAGACATCTTATACCAGTTGTACTAGTTCTGCAAAGTCGAGATCTTGTGAACGAAGTAACCGAAACGTTTTATAGGTCAGTGTATATATTATGCTGTTGCAGTTCAGTTTTACACAAGCACATGGATACAGTTATATTTAAATAATTCACTGGATTTCTTGGAATGTAGATATGATATACTGGATTCTTCAGTTATGTATAAGGTTTCGTATGCTTTGGCTATTGACCAACCAGAATTCGACAAATTTATCTTAAGGGTAATAATATTTTTCATGACTGTAATTATTGTATCAAGAGGATTATATTTTGGTTGTACATATCCTAATAAGACATATTCATTTATAACGTTAACTTTTATCTGCCATTTTGCCAAAATCACGTTTTCTAAAAGTTTCCAAACGAAACTCACCATATGGCATTCCCAGAAACGGTGAGTCTCTTTAGGGACAAACCAGACAAAATGGGAGGTAATTCATGGTCTTGAGGGCGCTGTCAGATATGTCTATAAATGTGACGTCATAGCGCGGCAAGTTCATTCACGGCTGTGACGACCAGTACTCAACATACTGATTTGTTATACATGTATTTAAAACAAAGGGTTTTTATAGGTGCTGCACAAAGAGTTTTTCGGAAATGCAAATTAAATTGAGATGTTAAACACTCCTGCAGCGTTGTCATACCAACCTTGTAGGTGGAAAATATGTTTCAGTAGTATCTACAGTGATAATATGATTACTTTTCTTTCAGGATGCAAACGCAGAAACTGCCTTGCTATGAATGTCAATCTCATTGACGGTTTGTATGTGTGGAACATGAGGGTGAGGCGTGAATCATCATTGATGTGATGTGATGTACCGTGTACAATTGGAATAAACGCCTCGGCAAGTGTCGCAGGGGACTTACAAAGATGTTTCTTCTTTTATCTGGTTTGTGGCGGTGGTAGAAAGAGAAAGGTGGATAGGTCAGTTTGAGTTTGTTATAAATTCTTTAATATTTTATTGTCGACAGTATTGTTTTATGGACTGGGGTATACCGCAATAGTTGAGGCGTATGCCGTATCTTTCATCAAATTCTGTAAAAAGTGAGGAACAACTCATTTTCATCAAGTCATTTATAAATATTATACCTTTCTTATGCCCCTGTTTTACAAACTTCTTGTCCCACTGCTATCACTTAGACATTCTGGGCAGACGATTTTATTTTGGTAGAACTGATTAATTAAGAATTGCATTTGAGCAAAGCCGAGTGAGATTTCTTGTTGACCAATTTGTTTAAACCTATTTTCATGGTTAGCGTCTATCATTTCATCTAATCCAAGGCTCAATTACATACCTAACGATTCAAAGGGCCCCTGTGCCTTGTGTCTTACTCTTAAAACGAAGAAGCCAGCACAAAATGTTCATAGTAGAAGACCGTGGAGGCATCTCTCTGAGCCATCGAGAGAACAGATCATATTCAGAAGACATTCAATATCGCCAATTTTGATACCTTTTATATCCTTATTATTACTGATGAATATTGCTAAAAGTTCTACACAAAGAAGAAATATATAATATATATTCCCTGGATATCTTAAAAACGTGGACCCAAAACCATTGTCAAGAACGAACAATTGTATTCCATAATAGAAAGTGTTTAACCATCGCTTAATGCATTTTTCCAAAACAAAAGAAATTCAGTGTTTCATCTATAAACAACCAACAACAACGTCCAAAGCTTTTTCGAAATCGACTATCATATATCTGTCCTATTATCTCCAACACATGAAACCAATCTGATCTTCCTTAATTTTGCCGAAAGACCGCCATAGGAGCTACCTCATAAACATGCTGATACAAGTTATAGTGGACGTTATTTTCATGTGATTGTTTTCAATTGGTTTATTATCTTTTGGGACAATCAAATATTATATCAGGATGTACCCTCAGTTCCAACCTGTCCTCGTAAAACGCCATACCTCTGCCTGGTATCTTATGGCCGTAATATACATACCTTGCCATTGGAAACTGTTTTAGCTCATCAGCGGTGAGCTGGCGGAAGCCAAACACTTGATCTTTGAAATCTGGATCCTGTACAGAAAGGAAGGAGAAGTGGTAACTGAAGCTGTTGTTCCGGGTACACAGAGCTGTCGTGAATACATGTCACCAGGTCATTGGTTTTGCTTAAGGCCAGGCTACAGGTACCCATGGGACAATGTCTGTCAAACAGTGTGCAGCCCGACTCTCGCTTGTCTGTACTGAAGGAAGGAACAGTGGTAACAGAGAAGCTTGTGTATCCTAACACACTGAGCTGTGTTACCGAGATACTCACGGGACAGTCTCCGTCAGTCAGTGTGAAGCCCGACATCAGCTGACACCCAACCCTTTGGGCGACCGGAGAGTTGTATATACTGAGGAGATAATCCCACGTCACAGAGCTCCATGTTCTGTAGAAAGAGGAAATAAATATCACATTTGCGCCAAGAAAGATATCACAGAACTTATTAACTTCCACGACCCGTTAAGGTCCGGGTTAGAATATTGATCTTCAGTAACCCATGCTTGGCGAGGCGACTAACGGGATCGGGTGGTCAGGCTCGCTGACTTGGTTGACACATGTCATCGGTTCCCAATTGCGCAGATCGATGTTCATGCTGTTGATCACTGGATTGTCTGATCCAGGCTCGATAATTTTCAGACCGCCGCCATATAGCTGGAATATTGCTGAGTGCGGCGTGAATCTCATTCACTTACTATTAACTCCCACATGAAACTGGAACAGCCGAGGAGATATGGTATCTGACAGGAGGGTACATGTTTGAGAAATACTGCTGTAGTGTTGGAATCAAAATTATCACCAAATATGTGCAGTATTACGTAATCCTGGTAACAGGTCCGTCCACTTACTTGATGAGGTCTTTAGGGGTATCCCCGAGACAATATGGCTCCCAAAACCCACCAGACACGTCCGACGTTGTTTTGGGTGAAAACACGTCTGCCACGAGAGTGACCTCAACGTTGGGACACTGACGCTGGACACACACGGCGGACGCCAACCCACTGACGCCAGCGCCGATCACACAAACTCTCTTCCCCACCATGACGTTGGGACTGATACAAGATCCGGTGTTTTTTATGCTGAAGTATAATAAGAAATGTTGTGTTGTAGGTTGTTACATGTAAGTACCAACCAACACAGGGATAATAGGATCATACAGTGTTTGACGCTGTGTACAATAACGTTAGCGTCCAGTATGTCTCCAGGCAACTGTTCCTGTTGCCATGGTGTTTACATCCAGGAATGTCCTAGTAACTCTCCTGTCCTTACAACAGAACAGTCAAACGAGTCTAATTTAAAAATGTAAAATTAAATCATGTCAGTACGGGAATAAAACGTTTATCCATACAAACACAGACACGTTATTAACACTCAACGTCCTATAGATATGTGTTCTATATTCCCTAATGAGTCAGAGGCAGGTCAGACCTCGTAAACGGTATCGACAAACTCCAACCTAGTTACCGAGCGGCAGTATTCATGTCAGTTTCACGCACGTGTTTATATTAATACAGGTATATATACACCAGTTAGGTCACTATTACAGAGATAATACAGGTTTACGTACACCAGTTACGTCATCGACCACTTGAGATAAATGCACGTTTGAAAGGAAATCCTCACACCTGACATATTAACCTAAATAGAGAGCGTCCCACGAATGCTTGTCCCACTGCTCGTTTGGCCATAATCGAATACTAGTACCACAAAGCAGTTGAACATGTCACAGAATGAAAGTTTGATCTAAGTATTCTTCTGATGGATTATAGGATCTATCCCTATCCTGTAATGTAAGTTTACGTATTTTCCGATCACGAACTTCACTACCGTGCCTTATAGTAAGTTATACAAGCTGACGTATGTTCACTTTCAAGTAGCCTGAGGAATTTGTCTTCCAGGACATGTCACTTATCTTGACTATGATATAGCTACCTTCTCACGCTCTGCGGTGGTAGGATACTCCCGTGTCAGGGCCACTGGAGAGTCAGAAGGCAGAGTCGACCAAACCGAGAGAAACAGGCAAGGTCCAAGATACGAGGTCGATTGTGTATGTTGGCCGAGAGGGGGCGTCGTTTATCACCTTCAATTAAAGGGCACTCATCTATGGCTTCGTTCAGTCCAGGTGATACGAACTCCGAACGTTTCAGACAATGTTCATTCGCAGAAAGGCATACCACGTGCATAATGAACTGATTTCTTCATCCTAAACAAGCAGACACAAGGAATGGTGGATATCGTCATTTAGAAATATCCCTGATGAAGCATTTTCGGATTTCTGATGCGTGGATGGTATGAATACTTATTGAAATTTAATGTGTCAGTTGACTATACTATGAAAAACATAGTTGATTCATTTGAAGCCTGAAACTAAACAGACCCTATTTCGCAATTTCTATAATCAAAAGATCTACTTAGTTAAATATGAATATACAATTATTAACTTTATTACACAGAAAATACGTCTATATTTTAATTATGCAACAATGAAGTTCCGTTCGTATGTCCCAAACAGGAACGAGCATTCGGGAATTTTTGACATTTAAACTGCATACTGTACAACGATTACTACTCCCGTCATCCCAAGTGTGGTGGTATATAGCTTAACCTGTATATCTGTCATTATCCACTCCATGCTCAGTTACTGCATTATTAACAGGCATAATGATGCAGGTTCCCATTTGCATATCCTGCATCTGGGAAATAACTTAACTATAAAAATTCATGTCTAGTGTGGCAAATGTATTACAAGCTAATATGAACGTGGAAGGTTAAGCTAAGTTAACATCGATCAAAGGATTAACCGATAAAGTTAGTGTTTATTTCCACAGACGGAATACACCCACATGTTGTTGTAAAGTGCCTATGTAAGAACCACATGATTTTCTTCAAAAAAAGGATTGACCGATAATACGTTGCAATAGTCACGTGACAACAGTCAATGAAAATAGCCCCGTGAGCTATCTCGGCTGACTATTATTATAGTATATTTATATAGCGCACAAATCCAGGCAACTAGTGCATGCTCAAGGCGCTGGTATTTTTTTCCCTCGATCATTGGATGTCAATCTCAACGGCACATCGTATTATCAATCTCAACTCCCTGGTGAGTATACAACTCTTGCAGCCACTTGGCGCACCGAGTTATTGTGGCTTTCGCATCCTTTCGACTAATGAAACTTCACTCAAGTGTGAAAAACCTGAGACAAATTTACGTGATCATTTGAGAAAGGATCGTGAGTTATAATATACCAAAACGTTGTACATATTTTACAACAGATGACAATAGATGATATTGTTAAGAGACACGGAACAGCCTTTAAGAGGTACAGATAAGCTGCGTATCTGCGTAAATCACGCAAATATTTAAGAGAAAACTCAATTCCTATCAAGTCTATTGCGTACAAGTATGCTTGAAGTTTTGTAAATACTTAATAAGTTTGATATTACATGCGTACAAACGAAAATAGATAAAATAACTGAGGTATATTGAGAAGTTCTATTTCAGCACCTTAACTTGGCAACTTGAAGTCTTTCTTCTAAAACAAATACAAACAACAAACACGTAAACCAACATTTCAACTTTATAATATTTTTACAATTAATGGAAAATGGCAAAAAATACCCAATTGAGCTTGAGTGAGGTGGGTACAAAATATTTGGTTACTCAAAGGAAAATGAGGATACCCAATTGAGATGAACGCAAGCGAGTGCATAACTCAATGACCCAAAAAGTTACAGCTCTGGCCTTTTTGTGGATATTAATGGATACATTCCTCGAACAAGGTAACTGCCTGATATTATTGGTGTAACTTTTGTCAGTTGTCATTTACGATATTTGCATTAAGTTTTCATTCACCCACTGAACAGAATGATTCTGCTTCAGTTTGGTTATCGTTGGGGACTTCCCAATACAGACAATACGAATTCGTTGTTTTCATTATTCACTCGGGCAATTTATATATCCTCACTAGAAACAAATCGACTGATTCTTACGAAGTTCTAAACATACTAATAGATCATTTATACTAAGATTATAAGCCAAACACGTAAAGACGTCACGGGAGATGAAAGTAAACTCCCAAATGGTTTGAATAGTTATCATGATAAAGTAGACGGACATGTATTGCAGTCAGTTTGTAAAATACCTAAAATATTAACTGGTCACGAAAATGACTACATTTCCCAGTTAATTACAAGACGAAAGTATATTTCATCTTTGTTGATTAATGTGAGGATACGCCCTTCTTCTATAATATGCGCTTATATTCGGGGATATCATCGTTTCACGAGACTAAAAACAATAACAAAATCAACAACCAGTCACAGGGAATTGCTATAGCTCAGTGTCCCTTTAATTACCTTTCTCATTGCACCCGCTTGGCCACTAATGCGCCGTATAGGTCAGTCATACTAGATACAAATATCTACTTAAACAACCCAGTAACGAACTGTTGATCCACACCTCACCATGTACATGTGGCTTGGGGATATGGGAAACATGGCGTCATGTTGGAGCATTATTTCTCTCCATTGAAAGAGGTACAATACAAACTGTAGCTGTTACTACCGACAATTATTCGTCAGAGTATAATCCATATATAACCAATTAGTTGATTCTGTTCAATCGATATTTTAAGGTTTTAGGGTTCAAGGAAAAATACGTTAGTATCATTTCATGTCCCCTGCCAGCGTGTCTAAACCTCTGAACATTAGTTGATATAATTCCATCATTTTGGATCGAGAACAAACCACAAATATAAATACGTCTTTTTCTATCAATGAAGTCGATTATGTTTTCAGTGTGTGCACAGCCATTACTGCTTTGAGAAGCGTATTATTGATGTAGTGGAAACTGTGTTCAGGGTTCTTTCATATGTGTGACTCTTGGTATAAATACATGGATAGGAAGTGTTTATCTTTTACTTAATCATCTTGACTAATAGCCCTTGACACATCACCTGAATCCTTCCTGACCATGTAGCTTCATCTAGTCACAGGTTGTTGTTTCTGTAGTTCCTGTTAGTCTGCTACTTCTCACCTTTACCACGTGATCATAGTCCTCCGTGCTCCGGAAGAAGGGTGTAAGAACAACCCTAATACTATAAACCTAAAGTTGTTATCAATAAACCTGAAGTTGTTATCTATAAAGTTGAAGGTGGTCTTAATTCTCAATTCCCATTAGTTTTGATTTTCGGATCAGAAATTCTATCCCGTATACATAAAGAAACGGGGCCTAGATTTTCGAAGCGCTAAGATAGTCGTAAGTGCCATACATTAACACTAACCTAGCGAGGGGACCACGCTTGGTGCGTACTGGTATGTCTTGTCTCCAAGAATCAACAGATGCTGTCAAACAGAAAAATCCATCATTCTATGTGTTGTCCTCCAGTAAATTCAGATGACATTTGCATTTTTACCCGTTACCTTTTAATCTGTGATTTGTAACTAAATGCATGGTCACCATGTTGAGAAGCACACCTACGATGTGTTATTTGGAGTGGAGGAAATGTTCTATACGAGAGCTATAGTATACTTCAACATCGTACATGTGTGGAGAATCGAACCCAGGTCTTCGGCCTGACGAGTGAACGCTGGAATGTGATGCTAAACACAAGAAAAACACTTCATCAGGTACAACGTAGTGATCATTAATATAATATACTCTCCCAAAAAAGAAACGCATATAGGAATTACAACTGTACGTTTATGTTTATTTTGAAACATCTTGTAGGCTTTATGAGTCAATGAAATATAGCGAAATTGCACACTGGGAATGCAGACCTATCCGTCTTTGGCACCAACTCGAGGAAAGTCAGTTTGAGTGTCACATGGAGACGTGTGGTGGCGCTGAAGTCAATACCTCGTGTGACCACCGTGGGCATCCAGAACTGCACGGCATCGCCTCGGCATCGAATGAATAAGTCTCAGAATCTCGTGTTGCCCAATCGCAGCCCACTCTGCCTGTAGTGCCTGTGCGAGTTGCTGAAGTGTCTTGGGCTGAGGGTTACGGCGTCGCACCCGTCTGTCCAGGGCATCCCACAGATGTTCGACCGGGTTTAAGTCCGGTGATCTTGAGGGCCAGGGGAGCACATTGATGTTGCGGTTCTGGAGGACGTCTCTAGTGTGACGTGCTGTGTGGGGCCTGGCATTGTCCTGTTGAAACAACTCTGGCGATCAATGATTGGAAGGAGGTGTGGGCGTAGGATTTCGTCACACTAAACAGACCCTATTTCTGCAATTTCTATAATCAAAAGATCTACTTTAGTTAAATATGAATATACAATTATTAAACTTTATTACACGAAAGAAAAATACGTCTATATTTTAATTATGCAACAATGAAGTTCCGTTCGTATGTCCCAAACAGGAACGAGCATTCGGAATTTTTGACATTTAAACTCCGCATACTGTACAACGATTACTACTCCCGTCATCCCAAGTGTGGTGGTATAAAGCTTAACCTGTATATCTGTCATTATCCACTCCATGCTCAGTTACTGCATTATTAACAGGCATAATGATGCAGGTTCCCATTTGCATATCCTGCATCTGGGAAATAACTTCTAACTATAAAAATTCATGTCTAGTGTGGCAAATGTATTACAAGCTAATATGAACGTGGAAGGTTAAGCTTGCTAACATCGATCAAAGGATTAACCGATAAAGTTAGTGTTTATTTCCACAGACGGAATACACCCACATGTTGTTGTAAAGTGCCTATGTAAGAACACATGATTTTCTTCAAAAAGGATTGACCGATAATACGTTGCAATAGTCACGTGACAACAGTCAATGAAAATAGCCCCGTGAGCTATCTCGGCTGACTATTATTATAGTATATTTATATAGCGCACAAATCCAGGCAACTAGTGCATGCTCAAGGCGCTGGTATTTTTTCCCTCGATCATTGGATGTCAATCTCAACTAGCACATCGTATTATCAATCTCAACTCCCTGGTGAGTATACAACTCTTGCAGCCACTTGGCGGCACCGAGTTATTGTGGCTTTCGCATCCTTTCGACTAATGAAACTTCACTCAAGTGTGAAAACCTGAGACA